AAAAAAAATAAGACAGGCTTTTGCTGTTTCCAGATAAAGTTGCCAATCCCGATGCGAATCAAATTCGTTTTTGAAGAACGTGCAGACACGCGCGGAGAAGAGTGGTAAATGCACCACGTGTCGATGTCTGAGGTGTTAGTGGTTATTACTGCGCATGATTTGAACAGTAGGACATAACAACACTCTTCCGTGTAGCACAAAATCCGTTTCGATATCTAAAATACAGCAACCTAAACAGTTAAATTGTAATTTTCTTTCTTTAAAAATAGAAAATTTTGAATTTCAATAATTTAATATATAGGTTAATTGAATTAAAGAATGAAAAAAATTAAGATAAATAAATAATTATGTATTTTGTAATTGGTTTTGTGTAAATTATACATTTTATAATTATTAATAAATCATATATTAAGACCCACAGTGAGTAAATAAGTTAGTAGAGAACTCTTTTAGTTTAACTAAAAGTCTTGCTTTCAAATTCTAAGAATTCAGTTTTGTTAAAACTCGTGAACGAAAGTTTTGTCGCTCGTTGGACCCTACTTGATTCAAATCTGGATTAATCGATAATCCAATAAACTTCCGAATATCAATGATCCAAACAAAAAAAAAAAAGGACCATATATTAAGGGATTGGCCTCTCCTCAATGGTTGTTTTTATTTTTGGGTAAATATGTAAAAAAAAGAAATTCAATGAAATGATAAATGTATAAATTTTTTCATGTCAGCACCTAACCTTGTCGGTCTAGTGATTTTACCGCCTTTGAAAGGTGCACCCCCAGCGCTTTAAGCTAGATTCAACTCCCCTACTCCCAATTTGTAATCTGTCAAAAACAAATTTTTTTTACAGGTCCATGAAATGGTCATGATAATGTGATCATGTAGGTGTTTTTGGGCACATCATAGTGACTTTATCAAAAAAGGTAAAGAGGTTCTTTTGCTAAGTCAACATTTATAATTTGGACTTCCCATTTCAATTACATTTTCACATTTTGTCCATAAATTTTGTGAATTGAAATTAAAATTAATTACATTCATAAACAAGGTTTTATAAGCTTCCTTGGAAGCATGGACGGGCTTTTTAAACAAAGCAAGGCGAAAACGTGGAAGCTGTCAATTGATGATAATTGATCCATGTATATTGTGCAATACTAATGCCAACTAGCCAGAGGCCACCTTTTGATTGATTGCAGGCAGTGTTTTAAAACCCGGCCCGGCCCGGCCGGTTCAACCGGACCCGGGCATAAAAACGGGCCGAGTGCATGCTTCGGCCCGTTTTGAGAGTTGGCCCGTCCAAACCCGTTCGACTCGTTCGACCCGCGCCAACCGCCCAACCCGTTCCACCCGCCGGGCACCACCTCATCTCCTTTGTGAGCAGCCGCAGCAAGCGCAGCCTGGTCTCCATCGAAACCAAGAGTCCATGGTAACAGACCTGACGAAAGAAATATAGACACCGAGACCACAGTGCTTGCCGGAGCACTCCAAACACATGAAGATGCCATAGGAGACCGAAGCCCATTGCAAATTCTTTTGGGCACAGTCGACGCAGATCTTGTTCCCTGGTTAAGATTAGAGGTCATGCAACCGTCTTGACGCCGCCATCTGAATCCGATCTCAACCCATTCTTGGAGATTGAAAACGAAGAGGATAGATCAAGCTCCAGAAAAAAAAGGATCAAAAGAAGGATATAAAACAAGATTCAGGAAGATTTTATTCAATTTTATTTTTTTAAAAAAAGGGGTTAAATTGAGGGGGAGGAGGAAGATTACTGATATTGTTAAAATGGTTGAGGAGTGTGGGGATGATTGGTGGTGGTGATAGATGCACGTGTTAGAAATAGGTAATTTTGGGTTGTTGTGCAAAGTGAAATGGCCTAAATTTAACATTTAGTCTATTAGTTATAGGTTTATTATCATTTTGGTTTAGAAATTTTATTTTCTCTCAAATTGGTCTATGAACTTCAAAAAAAAAAAAGCATATCAAAAGTCAAAATAATTAAGTTGTATGTATTTAATTAAATTTATTATTTTAAATTGCTTAAATGATAATTTTTAAGTTGATTTTATGATAATTATTTCTTAAAAATAGAGTGAAAATAATATATAAGAATAAAATTTAATATAAACATAAAAAAGGGTTTTTTTTAATTGACCGGTTGAACCGGTCGGGTGAACCGGTTCAACCGGTTGAACCGGACCCGGTGGCCAAAACGGGTCAGTCACCGGGCCGGGTTTTAAAACACTGATTGCAGGTACTTGTTTTTTTTTTTTTTTTTTTTTCAAGTTCTTAGGGTGTTTAAGAGTTAGTTTACATTTATCTTAAGATTAAATTTTTTTATTTAATTAAAAATAGGTCATACACACTAAAATTAGAGAATTTATAAAAAAAAATATTTTTATTGACCTCTTACAAAAAATTAATTATTAATCGCACTTGGGCTTTCGGGTCAGTGGCGTTAGGTCACGTATAAGTGCATTCCCCTACCCCTAAAACAACGGTTCGAATTCGATTCCTTGCGAATTTGTTCAAAAAAAATCTATATATTAATCAATAAGATAAAAAAAGTAAATCTCATTACTAATTAGTTCACAGTTATTTGAGAATTGATTGCACATATCATGTAAGGATATTAGTTGCTGGATGTTAATAAAATATGAGCATTTAATGGTGATGATGGTGATGGTAGAATGAGAGAAATTAATAAAGGGGAAGGGTATATGGGCAATCATGGAGAGTACGATATGGTATGTGAATTTGGCTATGGTTTTCTGTAGGCTTCCAATGATGCCTCTTTTCATATTTGGAAACATGAAAAAGCTGACCCCATGTGCTACCTTAAAGGAATGGGGGCAGCAATTTGGCAAGATTTTGCCATACACTTCTATCTGTCTATGTTGTACCTTGATGTATTGAACATTAATAGAGAATTAATTAATGTGTGTAATTTCTTCACTTTCAGTAATTAATGATATATAGTTTAGTCTTGGATACACATAATAGTGGCCCGCCTGCCTTAGTGAATTGTTAAGTGATCTTCATGCCCACTGTTATATGCATGTATATACATATATATTTGTTAATCATGAGTTTTACATATTACGAATGTATTTAATAGTATTGACCAAGAAGATAACAAATTAATACTAACACAAAGGGTTGAATCTACTAATAAATAAATATTATTTTATAGGTCAAATCTAATATTTAAATCTTAGAGTTAGTATTCAAGGAAGTTAACTTCCTTAAATGTATTATGCTAATGTGGAGGTGTGCTTTTAAGATTTTAGAAAAAAAGTTAGTCTCAAACTATATAAAAGTTTGCTCGAAAATATTTTGACTATAAATACTAAAAATTAGCAAAGAATTAATACTTCTTTCGAATCAATTTAAAGAGGAGCTATAATCTCAAGGGTTGGATAGGTCTTTCATTGAATGCATCATATGATATAAATAGTGTATTAGTAAAATCATATACGGAAGGAATTAATCTCAAAATACATAAAAATTAATTAAAAATACCCAATTATAATTTTAATAAAAAAAAGATTCCTTATTTTATAATTGAAATTGTATTAAATTATAAAATTAAAATTTTTAGATTGAGACAAAAATGTATAACATTGGAATGCTTTCTCTAATTCAAAAGTTATTATTTTATAATGTGATATAATTTATACTACAAAATATATATGTTTTATTTTGATTAAGATGTAATTATCTTTCATCATTTATTTCACTTCGCTTGCATATTATGTGACTCAAACTCAAAATCTCTTATTTTTAATAAAAAAAAATCATTATATTATTTAAATTATTAACCATATTACAAAATAATTAAAAAAAAAACACACACACACAGAGTAACCATAAATAAAAATGGTACTATAGTAGTAGTTGTGTAGCATCAAAATGCCGTGTAACAGCCAACAGATAGGATTAAAACGACACGGCGAAGATCAAAACCGCGTGACCAACCCAACGAGAAGTGTTGATGGGATTCTGGTGAAGATCTCAATGCCACGTAACAAAGGCTGCGGGGAGGGGGGGGTTGGATTTCATGCTTTCAGCCTCTCAAGCCTAGGTATGTACCCGTACGGACCCCCGGCCGTCCTCAAGATAGCGACATGCCGACATACCTCCACCACCTTAGCCACCCATCTCCTAATGCCTAAGCCTTAATCAACCAGCCTAGATTTCAGGCACTTGTTATGCGAAAAAGCAATCCTAAAAAAAACCCCTGTTTCTAGTGGTCCCACAAAAATGTTGTCTATGCTCCGTGAACATGGTTATAATTGGCTGGAGTCATAACAAAGATGAGGAAGATTTGATATGAATTTTTTTTTCTTTGAATAATTTGTCAAGAGCCGGCCTTGAACCCACCCAAAGGAAGGGAAATGCATATTATGATGGTAGAGTGTCATTTGATCCAAATGATCAGGTACGAAGAAGATTTGGTATGAAAATTTAAAATTAATAATGTGATGTAAGTTTTATTATTAAATTAATTGATATATATATAATATAATGAGTTTTAAAAAATAAAAAAATTAATTATTAAATAATATAAAATTTATTTTTTAATATCCTAAATTACATAACTCATGTCATGTTATTGATACTAAATTTTATTCTCAAATTTTAATTTTGTTTATTATTATTCAATTGGCTATTATCACAAAATATTTTGTTAAAGCCACAA